TTGACAACCTTTACTTCCACGTGTCTTGGTGTTCTCTTGATGTTCTCTTGATGTACAATTATATTGTAAAAGAATTGTGCTTTTTTTGCAATTATTGTGCTAAACCATTTTTTATTTTGGAAGGTCTTACTAAGTAGCCCAGGCTGGCCTTGAACTCATTATCCTCTTGCATCAGCCTATAGAGTGCATATACGATGGAGTACATGCACTTGTCTTGCTATACCATTTGCAACACACTTTTAATCTATTTTACTTATTTAATATAGCTCTATTGAAGCACACTTCTGTTGTTGACCCAAAATCCATACATGCAATTCTCATCTTTTGATCTCATTGACTAGAGGATGGAAAATGTGGTTTCCTGGAAAGCTCTACATTCAGACTCAATGCAAATGATTCAGCCAATCTGATGTAGGCATATCAAAGTGAGGAGAGATACTGATCTACTGACCAACAGTGAGTGAACAGGAAGAAGTAAACATTCAAAGGAGACTTCTTGAAGTTTGAATACTAAGCAAAATTTAAAAGATCACAGTAACTCAGATGACTACCACTGGTGATCAGTTAAAAAAAAATGACAGTGTATGTTTATCAGGTCTTATAATACACCTATTAAAATCAAGATGTAATGATCCTTTTTTTTTTTTTTTTTTTTTTTTGGGTCCGGTCGTGGAGCCTGAACTCTGGGTCTGGGAGCTGTCCCTTACCTTTTCAGCTCAAGGCTAGCACTCTACCACTTGAGCCACAGCGCCACTTCCGGCTTTTTTCTTTTTGCTTATGTGGTGCTGAGGAATCGAACCCAGGGCCTCATGCATGCAAGACAAGCACTCTACCACTGAGCCACCTTCCCAGCCCCGAATGATCCTTTTTGATTAGGAAGATATGCTTGGCATATGGAGTGAAAAGGCTGCTAATAAAATACTTTATAAGCTATTTTGTAAAAGTCATAAGAATACATACACATACCAGTTTTCTAATTATGCATGAAGGGATAATGGATAATTGATGGGCAATATTGATTCTATCTGGATGGTTATATCTAAATTTTTTAACTCTTGTATTTCCCACAGCAACCTTTTATTGTTCTCCACCAAAAAAATGTAGCTACCATCCAGGTAAAACAAGAAGAAATAATCCTTAGTGCCAATTTGGTAGCAACACCATTTGTTGGACTGAAACATGAAGATGAAAATGAAACATTTCCTAATTTTTGTTAGATCAGGAGAAGAGGAGGGGGCAGAGAATTGTGGTGCCTATGGATGTGTATGTGAGAAAGAGAGACAGGGAAAGACTGATACAGACAATTACTGACACAGATAAACAAATGCAGTGAGGTAGAGATACAGCAGGGTCGGGGCAAGAAGCTGTTGTGGCTATGCATGTGTATGTATCTGTGTGTGTGTCTATAAGAGAGGAAAAGTTCAGAAAGTGAAAGAAAACTACTTTCAGGGTGGTCTAAAAGGAGCAATGGAAACAAATTAAGAAAAATGTCAAATCTGAACTTAAAAGCTAAAATTCCCAGCAGTGATAGATTGGACAGTAGAATTGAACCACAGGGGAAGTAGCAAGAGGTTTTTTGTTTGCTTGTTTGTTTTGTTTTGTTTTACTCTCTACTTGTTGAAAAAAAAACCCACAGGCAGACATAAACATCAAGACCCATAAAATCTGTTTGCTTTTTCCAGGTTCTAAGAATTGACATTCCAGAGATCCATCTCCATTTCTTTCTTTCAATGTTGAGAAATGGAAAAGGGTCAAAGTAAGGAATGTCAGACTCTTTCTAAGTGGCTTAAACTACCCTTAGAGCAAGTCAGTGCAGCAATGAAGTAAAGAGTCTGAGTCTAATTTCTTACAGCCATCCTGGTGCCTGTTGAAGGGAATTCTCTACCCAGTGCTGAAAAGCCTAGAGGTGAGTTAGGCCATTCATTGAATGCAGATGCCTAGCTCAAGGTGAGCCAGGAGGGCTCTGCTTTAGAGAAACAGCTGCCAAAGCCTAAGGAAAAGCTTTACATGTGGATAATGCTCTGATTCTGCATTGATTAGCTTCCTAAATGGCTTGAATCACCAGCCTCTGAGAGACAGGGGTGGGCACTTGGCTGATAGTTTATTGAACTTGTCAGTCTAGTGCCTGGGACTGGGAGTGTACTGTGACCCTCCCCCTGGCCTGACTCTATTTAGGCCTGGACCAGCATAGGCACCTTTACGCCATGCCATGTGTCTCTGTGTTCATGTCTTCTGTCCTATGTCTTGTCTCCTGGCTCTTCTCCGGTCACTGTGGTGTCCCAATTCAGCTCTCCATTGGAGCAGATTGGTATGTTGGTATTGTTTGTGTTCTTTCTTTCTTCTCTGGCCTGTTTCCTAACAGTGGTAAGTGTATATGTGGGCTGCAGGCCTTTGTAGCCCTGCAGACTGCTAGCTCTGTAATAAAGACTCTAAGATTCGATCTTTCAAAATATGGCTTCTCTGAATTCTCACCTTATAACAGGCACTTCATCAGTCTACAGCCCAAGCCTGCCTCCTGGGGAACATGTCCTTTGTAAAGCTGTAGCAGGAGATCTTTGGGGCCAGGAAGGGCCAGACACAGACTTGGCATGGAAGAGGAGAGCCTGCCTCAGTGACACACGGCTGTGTGGAGACAGTATGTGATGGCCTTCTGTCCATGTGTAGGTTCTGAGGTCAGAACACATCTGGTTCTGGTCTACTCTCACCACTTGCGTGGGAAGAAATTTGGCTAGGAGATGGCAGCTGTTTTGTTTTTACCAATAAATTTGAGGACAAAAATCTCTTCTGACTTTTCTTATTTCTTCTTTATGTTAATATGAACTGATCCTTGAACCCATCAATTCAAGCCACAAACATGAAACTGGAAATCGCCAGCTAGCATCCTCTGAACCCCAAATGTCATGTTCTTATTAAGACCATATCCTCTTAATCTCAGGCTCGTTTTCTCATAGACTAGAATCTCATATCCTAAAAATAGAACAAACAAAAACACCTTCATAGTTGACCCTGCTCTCTCTAAAGGTGTGGTTATATCCCACACCTCTGTTTCCTTCTTGCCTATACCCATTTATGACCGTGATTTACCTTCAACATCATTTTTACCTCATGCCTTAGCCTTCCTTCAAATTCAGCAGCTATGGTCTGACTTTCACTGTGGCTATCTATTAAGTTCAACTACTCCATTACAGCATGCTTTTTCTCAAATCCACATCCTTAACATCAGTGAGATATTAAATTCCTCAATCCCTCTAAGTGTCTTAGAATATCTGTTTCTGTAGCATCCAATCGTCCTGTTCTTGCTCCTCTTCCTTCTCTCAGCTTTCATGGCATGATTGTCTTTTCACTCAATATTGTTCTTAATCTCTTTGCTCTTTTTTGTTCATTCTAATTCCTTTTTCTTTTCTGCACATGATTCAGTTGGTAATAAATCTGGGTTTCTAAGACCCCAGGCCCTAAGTCCAGAAGTCCCAAGACAGATCTGATGCTCTGATATGTCAAATCAAGAGACATGGTAAAGGATGAAGAAAGGAGATTTATGATATGGTGGCCATGGGAAGATGACACTTTGGTACATATTCAGTGTCTTCTGATGTATAAGCATTGACTTCTGGTTAAATAGAGAGTACAGTGGGCAGAATGTGAGAATGATCTACATTGTTAAAACAATCGCAAGTCACAGGTGTTGCCTGGTTGACCATTATCTCAGTTTTTGTTCTTGGGGGAGTCCAGAGAATTGTTATCTTTCTATCACTAGAACAGAATGGAAATAAGGTAATCTCCTGAATTTCTGGAGGTTTTCTTTAAATTGATAAGAAAAAGGTATTGCTTGGACAATCTGCCTTTCTCCAAAATGCCTATCAGGAAATACTTCTCTTGGATCCTAAGGTGATTACAATGGGACTGCTGTAGAGAATAGCTCAGATCAATGTGGGTGATACTTAGTTAATTCACAGGGCCCACCAGCAAAATCGTCTTTTAAGCTACAGTAATAATAAATTTCTTGAAGTATAACATATACTGGACTATTGAGTTTCTCAAGACCATATAATAAACTGGGAGCTGGTGGCTTATGTCTGTAATTCTAGCTACTCAGGAGGCTGAGATCTGAGGATCATCAAAGCCAGTCTGGACAGAAAAAGTCCATGAGAGTCTTATCTCCAAGTAATCAGCAAAAAGGCAGAAGTAGAACAGTGCCTCATCTTGAACAGTAGAACAGTGCCAGTCTTGAGTGGGAAAGACAGCCGGGACATGAGGTACTGAGTTCAAGCCCCAGTACCAGCACAAGAAAGGGGAAAAAAGGAGCCTATAATGGCTTACTATTATAAGTAAAAAATGTTTAGAGTTGAGATGCCTGTAAATCAATTATCCTTTCACCTTTTTAGCCCAGCACTCACCACAGAAATCATATGAGCCTGCTTACCTTGTGCATTTGACTTTGGTTATCTTGGTCAGCTCCTCACCGTTTGCCTGAATGACTCCTGAATCAGAAGGGGACTCAGTCTAGGAGAGTAACTATCCCAAGGTATTTTTAAGGCCTTAAGTGGCTTTAAAGTCAGTAACCACTATGAAGAATTTTACTTATGAACTGTGGAAAAGAATTCTAAATAGAGAATAAAGTGCTTTCATCATCCTTTTTTGCCTTGAAGCATTTGAGTATAAATCACTGTAGAAATTTCATATGAATAAAGCATTTCTTTCCTCACATCTGAATTCACGTTGACTTTAAAATGAAACTAACAGCAATAAATATGAGTTGTTGGAGGAAAATCCAATTCAAAAGGGGGTTTAATAATAATGTCTTTACTCATTTATATTCTCAGTAGGGAATGAACACCATAAACACTTTTCTGTTTTTATCCTTGACACTATTTCTATTGCTAGGTCAGTCTCAAGGGGACTTTCTGTACATATATAATGAGGAACTTTCTGTTCAGAAACCAGATAATGCCAAACTTCCTCTTACTTAGGTTTTTCATAAGCATCCTCTATTGCTGTGGGAACTGAGATAAATCGGAAACGTTCTTTGCTCTTGAAAGCCAGACTGATAAAATTATGGTAAATATTTTAAAGATTTTTTTAAAGTTATTTCACAAGCTGGCAATGGTTTTGGCTTTGCATTAATTGAATTTTAAAATATCCTGTTAATGATTAAAGACTCTTGGAAGATGATAGGATTCCTGAATCAAGCCTGTTTTGTATGCCAACCCCTGAAGCAGTAAGTTTTGCTGAGAGTTTATGCACAGGGTGGCCATACAGAAGATGGAGGGAAATCCACTTTCCAAGCTGTCTCCCTGAGGATATAACTGAGGGGTGTTTGTGGGATAGGAAAGCAGGGTCTGCAGTATAGGAAAGATGACTGGGGGCAAGGACTGTACATGTGTAATCTTACTTCATGACTCTACCCAGACAGATGTTCTGAAAATGGAAGCCTTGTTGAGATCTGTGACTGGGAGTTTTGGTCTTCTGATACCAAAATGTCACCCGTGGAGCAGGTTGTAAGTAAAGAGGTCTATGGTTTCAGCTAGTATAAGCTAGACAAATCCCATTATTATCTCCAAATCCATCATATATGTATATCTCTATCTCTATCTCTATCTATCTATCTATCTATCTATCTATCTATCTATCTATCTATCTATCTATCTATCTATCCACACAATACCTCAGAGGTGTCATCAATAGTAAAGGTGAACAGGGCTCTATTACTTTACTGCTGAACTATTAAGGAAAGTTGGTAATTAGAAGCAATTGAAGGTAGAGAATCTATTCACATTTTTTCCCTGGGTTTCAAAAAAAATGTGCACTTTGAACTTTAACTGGGGAAGAAGAATGGCACTAGCTGCTAAAAGAGAAACAAAGTTATCAGTTTCATTATAGATTTGGTTACAATTATTAGTGGTTTTGTTTGTTTGTTTGTTCTTTTGTGCTGGTATAAAAGCTTGAACTTGGGGCCTGGGCACTGTCCTTCAAGGCTTGGCACTATACCACAGCTCCAGTTATGGGTTTTTTTTGCTGGTTATTGGAGATGAGTCTCACAAACTTTCCTGCTTAGTTTTATTTATCATTATTATTTAGTGTAATAATAATTATTATATGTAATATAATATAATTATATGTTATTTATTATTAGTCTATTATTGATTTTGTAAAGCTTTTGGATTACACACTGATCTGAGAATGCTAAGTAAAGGTATTTTGCAAGATGAAATACCATAATCATACATATATATATCCATACATATATTCCTGATTAATACTTCCATAAAAACAAGTAAGATCTACCATTTCTCTATACTCCTGAGACTATCTGAAGTGATTATTTGTTTGTTTGTGACAGGGTCTTTCTATATAGCTCAGGTTAGCCTTGAATTCACACACCTGTCTCCACGCCTTGAGTGCTGGATTTACAAAACATTACCACTACTCTTGGTTCATAATAAATATTTCTACCTCATAAGTCTAGTATGAAATTAACTGAAAATACTGTGCAAACACATTGTCATATGGACAAAAACTCCCTTTGATACTTTTTATTACACTCATGCTCACTTTTTTCTTCCTATTTGTTTAGTTTTGAAATAAATCATACATGCAGAACAGTTTATAAAATATATATGGCCAGGAAAAAGAATAAACAGTTTCTAGTACACAGGGGGATGGAATTCAACGCCTGCCTGAGCTACACAGTAAAGTGTTCAATAATTACTGAACAGCTGTAAACTGACTACAGATTAAGATGTGAGGCAGCGCAGAACTGTGGACCACCATCGTGTCCTTTCTGAGATTTTGGAGGGAACTGTCCCACTGAAAGCACATAGACCTCCCCATCACTGCAAACCATTTCTCTGAAGTTTCCCCTGGCCCCTTGACTGCTCTATCTTTCAAGGATGAGCTGCCTACTGAACTCTAACTTTCTATATGTAAATAACACACTAATGTTAGCAAGAAATTCACAGCCCTCCCTTTCCCAACCTAGCACTCCCAAGTCTCAAGTGATTGCAAAAAGGTTCTACCTGGAAGGGTGCATGCCAGCAACACTGACAACAAAAATGAGATACGTATCACAATCAATACCAAAGTGCCAATCATTTACACCCTCTTCACATCTATTGGATTGCCCTTCTCATTGCCTTATGGGCAGGAGATGAGATGTCCACAGCCATTTATTCAGAATAAGCTAGGTTTTGAAACATTGAGCACCTTATGAAATTTCTACTCTGCAACCTCTAAGTCTTCCCTTGATAAGTCAAAGAAAAGATTCTCCATTAGGCTAAGAAGTGAGCTGGTCACAGGAAAGCTAGATCCTGCCGTCTTTCAACACATCAGCTTTTGGCTAATAACAACACTTCCTTCATTACCCTCTCAAGAGCCATGGACTCAATAGGGCAGCAGCAAACCAAACCCTGTGCAGTTACATTAACTAGATATTTTGCCTTTCATTTTCTTATCTTCATTCTCAAAGTTCTTTGATCATAAAACCCTGTGCCAGAGGAAAGGGGGAAGAACAGAGCAAACTTCACTAGCCTATTTTTATTCATATGTTTATTTATAAGTTGTATGCATGGGTAGTACTGATATTCATGCTATAAAACTATTATTTTGTACAATTTACATAGGCAAATACAAAAGAAAGATGAAACACAACAGAATTATCTCTAGGTGGTTAGATTGTGGGTTTTGTGTGTGCATGTTGGGAATTTGTTTCATTTGTGTAGGGGAGGTATTTGGGAGAGCCTGTATTCAACTATACTTGTATACTAAGTTTCTATGAAAAAATTGCTTACTTGAGTTTCTTTTTAAATTTATTAAATGAATTTCTTTGTAAAATGATTGTGCTGTTAAAAAGATATTAAAGAAATACTGCAATATCAGTATAAGGTTCACACTTGTTACTGAAGAGAAATAGCAGAAATGGTGTCTCTCCTGACACTTCTGACACAGCCTCAGGAGAGCAGCAAGAGTCCATAGGTGTTAGTTCCTAGAGGCAGAAAGCAACTGAGGCCTCTAGAAACTTGGTGCTCTTTCCCATCCCAAATTAAAATGCATATGTTCCCACTTCTGCCTGGGTAAAAGGCATGACATTTGGACTATGCAGGTAACACAAATCCTACCGGCTGACTAATATGTGACCATGACAAACATACTCTGCTGGCCCAAAAACAAAGCAAAAAAATTCATAACATGTTGATGATGAAATACTACTAAAATATCAGATCCTCTCCTCCTACTCTGGTTAAATACCATTTACTATCTTTTCTGACTCTTAAAATAACTCATGTTCTACATAGAGTAGAAAAATAACATAAAGAATAAAGAAAGGTATAAAAGTCAAATGTATTTCCATACCAAAAGACATCTGGCATTAAAATTTAATTTGCATTTCCGTATTTTCTATGCAGATCATTTTTATAACCAAAATTTTACTTCTTTTTAGAAACCTTCCTTTTATACTTCATATTTCATAGTCATGTTTCCATATGCTTACTGTTCCCTGAGAATACCATGTAAATCACTGAATAATAAATTTCCAGCATAAAAATATCCTATTATTTTGCAAGTCCCAGAAAGAAAGCTACACTGTTTCCAAATTCTCACTGCAGAAGAACTCCTCTTCTCAACAATACCTTTGATCTTTGTGTATCTTTTATACAATATACTTTGTGTGTGTGTGTGTGTGTGTGTGTGCCAGTACAGGGACTTGGACTTAGGGCGTGAGCACAGTCCCTTATAGCATTTTTCGTTCAAGATGACACTCCACCATTTAAATCTCAGCTTCACTTCTGGCTTTTTGCTGGTTAAAGATAAGAGTCCCACAGGCTCTTTCCTGCCTGGCTGGCTTTGAACTGCAATCCTCAGATATTAACTTCCTGCGTAGGAGTTCAGGCCTGAGTCACCAGTACTGGACATAAATTCTTAAAAATGCTATTGCTGTTTCAAACACATTAAATTTTTTTTAAAGATGACTTGTGTTTATTGTCCTATTGTCATCATTGCTGTCAGGTTATCTCTGCAAGGGAAGAAGAAGCTAAATATTCTTTAAGTGGACATATTGTTATTTTTCCACTCTTGCCACCTGGGTCAATAACCATCTCAAAATACTTTATCTGTCATATTTCCTTGATTGCTAGTGAGGGTGAATAATTTTCTAAAATGTTTTTTTAGCTAGTTGTATGTCTCTTTTGTAAATTGTTTGTTTGTATACACTCTACTCATTTTCAGCTATACATTACTTAAGAGCTGTTTGTATGTGAAAAGAATTTATCAGTTGCATGTGTTATATGTTGTAAATTTTAGGTCCTGGGCTTCACAGACAAAGAAGGCCTGAGTCACAAAGAAGTATGATGGAACTGTGCTTGGAGGACTATAGAGTGAATGTTAAAAAAAGACATTTCCAGAAACCAGCCCTTACCAAATAATAGACCATTTCAGAAACTCTGAAGGTGACTGATCACATTGGTTGTAGTCGGAACTTGGTCTTTTTTTTTTTTTCATTTGTGATGTGGAAAAGGTTTGCCTCCTTCGTACTTGTTTGCATCTATATCTGTTCTCAGGTCTTACCACTCCCCTACACACACACACAATCTTTTCTGCAAGAAACAACAGTAGAAACTATTTTTTCCTAGGGTTGCATAGAAACCAAACACTCTCTTTTGATGGTTTATGATTCTGACACATTATATTAACAAAGTGTTTCCAACACCACAGAAGATCAGTTTCTCTTAAAATGTTAAGAAAATCATCCAAATAAATCATGCTAATCAGACACAAACAATCTGACAAGCAAAAGGCAATATAAAATATCTAAAACAACTATTTCTTTTCCAGTAAAGCCATTTTTTTTGGTAAACTTATTTTTTTAAGTTTTGATCCATCTACTTTCTTTTTTTTCTTTCTTTTTTAATTGTGAAAATACCATGCAGAGTGGTTACAATTACATGGGCAAGATAATGAGTACATTTCTTTCTCTTTTTGTGTGTGTGTGGGGGGGGGTCCAGTCGTGGGGCCTGAACTCTGGGCCTGGGCGCTGTCCCTCAGCTCTTCAGCTCAAGGCTAGCACTCTACCATTTGAGACACAGTGCCACTTCCAGCTTTTTTTTTCTGCTTGTGTGGTGCTGAGGAATTGAACCCAGGGCCTCATGCATGCAAGGCAAGTGCTCTACCACTGAGCCACCTTCCCAGCCCCAATGAGTACATTTCTTATCAAGCATTGTTGCCTCCTTCTTTGTTTCCCCTTCCTATCCCTTCCCATCTTCCCCCACTTCCCTCGTGCATCCTCCCCCACCGTACCTCCTCCCTCCCTCTGCCCAAGTTGTAAAGTTCATTTTTCCACATAACGATTTGTACATCTCACTCATTGTTGCAATGGGTCCACCTGTATCCCTATTTAAACGATCAAATCTACTTTCTATAAAGTTCATGGGTTCTTGTGAAATATTTTTCATTTATTGATTTAGGAGTTTGCTATAGTTCAGATGTTCAATGTCCCTCAAAGGGCTTTGTGTTAAAGGCTTGCTCTCAGGTGGGTATTATTCAGGGGTAGTAGATATTTTTAAGAGGTGAGACCTACTAGGAGGGCTTTTGATCACTGAGGTTGCATTCTTGAAGTGAATTTGAAGACCCCAGACCCTCCTCTCCTTCTGTTTTATTTCTTTTTTATTGTGAAAATACTGTAAGAGGGGTTACAATTACATGGGCAAGGTAATGAGTACATTTCTTATCAAGCATTGTTGCCTCCTCCTTTGTTTCCCCTTCCCATCCCTTCCCCTGCCCCACCAAAGTTGTAAAGTTTGGTTTTTGACATAACGTCTTATACATCTCATTATTGCAATGGGTCCACCTGTATCCCTATTTAAATAATTTGTTTATTCCCTTCCCCTCCACAATTATACCAACATCAAGTACAGTAAAAACAGGGGTTATACCATGGGGAGAGGGACGTACAAAGCAACAAAGAAATATCTTATAAATATGTTTGAAACAATAGCAAGAAAGAAAAAACATTTGAGTTCTGTTTCATCTCTGACCATGAGGTGAACAACTTTCCTCTACCACATGCTCCTCCCATGATTTGCTGCCTTGCCACAGGCCCAAAGCAATGGGGTCAACCAACCACAGAATGAAACGTCAAAAACTGTGAGCCATAAAAGACTTTTCTTCTTGCTAAGCTGACTATTTCAGATAGTCAGCATTTATGATAACAGAAAGCTGACTGTCAAACAATTTTAACACTCTTGGAAACATTATTCAAACAGGGTCTACTTGAAAGCCTTGCTCAACATACTTTGTTTGGGAGGTCTCTGTTTCTTCTATGTAAATGTTCCTGAATTAGCTATCGGAATGAAGGAGACTAGATGACATGCTCTCTTGAGAACTCTTTTCAAAACCTCTTAAGAAACTCTTCTTCAAACTCTTCTATGGTGAACCAAGTCCAATTTCCTTTTTATTTAAATTTTATTGTAAAGGTGATGAACAGAGGGGTTGCAGTTACATAAGTAAGATGATGAGTATATTTCCCTCATTCTTTCCCTCCCCCCACTATCTTCCTCTCCTGTGTGTAAAGTTCATTTCCATCACAGTGTCTAATTAACTAACACTGTTTTATTGGTTCACCCTTTCTCCCACTGTTTCTGCGATTCTTCTTCCCTTCCCCAAATCAGATAAATTTATATACAAGACAAATGATACAGAAATAAAAAACAGTGACAACAGGAAATAAACCAAAGGGGGGAAAAGAAAGAAAATAGAAATACCTGAAATCAGTAAAACAAAATTCTCTTGTTTCCATTTCTTGGAGTTCATTTTGATAGGCATCATTTTATATGATCACGTGCACATAGCTATTGACCTATGGTGATCCTCTGCTAAGAATATCCTAAACATATTCTTATGTTGATCCTTGACTGACCCAGATTCCAACTGAAGTAGATAAGTAATCCCCAGACTCCTTATATCTTGTAACCATAGAATACTTTTTAAATGCCTTTATTTTTGTTTAATAAGATGCAAAGCTATCACCTAACCCACTGTTACAAAGGTATAAAAATGCTAATGTAATCTTTATAGGTCTGTTATTGCTTCTGTGGGAGGAATATAAGATGAATCAAACATACATCGACACAGCAAACACTCGAGCATTTGATATGAGCCCCATTCTCTTGGTTGCCACCAGGCAGTGACAATGACTGTAAACAGCATATGCCCAACAGTGGCATGTTGTGTTTCAGAAGACACCGTTTGCCTTCTGTCTCTATTTGTTCTTTCCAAAATGTGAGTTCATCAGATTTTTTTAAAACAGAAGTTCTTTTAAAGAGCTTTTCTAATTACTATAGAATTCAAGTCGACATTTTTATTTGACTTGATGGTTAGCCTTCTGTTCTTTTGCTTACAAATCTGAAAATTGAACATGTATGAAATACCTAAAAGTCAGACTTTCTTTTTTTTTTAATTGTGAAAATATGGTACAGAGGGGTTACAATTACATGAGCAAGATAATGAGTACATTTGGGAAGGAGGCAACAAAAGTCATACTTTCTTAAAACATTTAATTTCTCAGAGCATCAGAAGTTTTATCTTCAATTGACCATATGCCTCCTACGTGTCCTTCTTTCTCATCTCAGAGCAGCACAGTGTGAAAATTTGTAGGAAAAGTGCTATCTGTCTCAAGGGTTTTTAAGGATACTCAGAGGTACAATAATACCAATATAGGTTCAGAAAAAGATGGAGCCAGTTGTATGATAAATAATTTGATTGGTCTTTGCCTCTTGTTTCTTGGAAGGAGGCTGTGAATCTATGGAATCTTCAAAGTGACGAGTATCCTAATTACTTACTCATGGTGGCCCCTGCGATCCTTTGAGGTCAGCCAAATCTCCTAACCTTGAGAGAGAAAAGAGGGCCAGACATGGTGTTCAATCATGATGTAACCAATCATGGCTGTGTAAACCCTTGTTAACACTAATATTTAATGGAGCTTCCTGATAGGTGAGCACATCAAAATGTATAGTATGATAGAGAAATGAATCTTGTCGTTCAAAGGAATGTGAAAGTAATTGAAAGGTAATATAGAGTTGGTTGTATTTTCTTTTTCACAGCTAGAAAAGCAATTCTTTCTTCTTTCTCCCTAAGTTGAGTCCAATCTGCTTCCACATTTTGATTCAATTCATGTCAGAGAGAGACAAAGGCTATCAAACTTTTGCTCACGCCTGTAATCCTATCTACTCAGGAGGCTGAGATCTGAGGATGGCAGTTCAAAGCCAGCCAGGGCAGGAAACTACTTGAGACTCTTCTCTCCAATAAACCACTAGAAAACTGGAGGTGGCGCTCTGGCTCAAGAGGTAGAGCACTCGTCTTGAGCTGAAGAGCATAGAGACAGCGCCAGGCCTATAGTTCAAGCCCGTGACCGACTCCCCCCCCCCAAAAAAAATTACTTTGATGTGAAAACAAAACTTGATAATATATAAATCATGTGCAAATACCATGGGGAACTTGTGGTTTGAAAAGTAAGAAACTGAAAGTTCATGGATAGCCAAACTATGATAGAATTATCATTTCTTTTCCAGTTTGACAGAAGTTCTATTCAGAGATTTGCCTTGGTTATTATTCAAATAAATAAGCTTTTCAGCTCTAATCCTTGAATAGAAGTATTTTGTATAGCCACAGAATGCAGATACTTTGAGCTGAAACTATTGCTTTTCATGTTAGAGCTGTAAGAGATGTTCCTAGGTAACATCCGGAGGGCAAAACAGGTAGATATTGAAAGATTATTTAATATTAGATTGCTCTCAAAATGACAGATGACAGTCAGATTTCAGCCAGGAGTAGTAGCACCATGGGAAATAATCAAGATGGCAAGTAAAATGCAATATATCAAATTTTATAAAAATTTAGAGAATAAATCATTGAGTCTCAAGAAATAGGCAATAATCTTGGGGGAGAAAATTAAAGTGAGCAGGAAAGGAAAAGTAACCAAGTAGCAATTCTTAACAAAAATAAACAGGCACTGGTGGCTTACTCCTATAATACTAGCTACTCAGTGTGAGGATTGGGTTCAAATCCAGCAGGAGCAGAAAAGTCCATGTGACTCTTATCTCCAATAAACTACTTAGAAAAAGTCAGAAGTGGCTCTATGGCTCAAGTGGTAGAGTGCTAACCTTGAGCAAATAAAGGCTAAGGAACAGGACACAGGCCCTGAGTTTAAGGCCAGGACCAGAAAACACTTACACACACACCACACACACACACACACACACACACACACACACACACACACACACATGTATAACTAAATGAAAAATGTTTGGAGTGATTGAAGTGGAAAATAAATGCTATCAATGTGAAAAACAAGCTTAACTTATTTCAAGAGTGTTTTTGTTGACAG